TCTACCATTGGAGAGTCTTCAACATTGAAACCAAATATCCCCAGCCTTAAAAAAACAATCCAAAAGGCTCAATATAAACTTTCCCGGGATACTTTTCCCAAATTAAAGCTGACCCACTGGAATAGATTCAAAAATTTCCTCTTCCCGAGCTGTATCTCTTTTCTATATGATCTAGCACAATCATCCAAAGGTTTGAATGCTTTTTTGAGCAGGTTCAATACTCGCTATCTCAATTTTGTACGATTTTATCTTGAAATGGACAAAACTAGCGACGAATACAAATTTGTCTCCCTATTTCATGTGATCTTTGTGGTTTTCAATAATTCACGCGATAAAAAGAAACTATCGACCTTCCTTTCTAAATGGAAAAGAAACCGCTTTCCCTATGAACTTTTCGACATTTATGAATCATCAACCAAATTTCGATCCTTTTCTCCTTACGAAAAATCAATTAACATCACTGCAATACTCCCATCGCCTCCTGCAGACTATGAAAATCTCTTACAAATAAACATCAAAAGAAAAGCTCTTTCATGTTCTTTTTTGAAGGCAAATGCAAGCTTTAAATTCTTTAGTGATACGCCTTCACTTGAAAAGAAATTGAACTCAATAGTCGCTACTGATGAGCTTCTTTCTGGGTTTCCCCTAGCAGCCTTACAAGACCGCAGGCTTCTTGCCCAAATATTGCTCTGCGGGTCGATTGAGGAACTTGGGACCTTTTTCACAATTAGTGCTAAAAAGACCCCAGAGCTGCTTGATCTTTTATGGTCGCATTTCATGACAGCCTTTTATTGCAAGTCTCCTCGTTTGAAAGAAAATACTTTTTGCAAGGCTTGGATTCGACAAAATATGCAGCCTCGTGCTCGAAACATAGCCGCACGTATTAGCGATCGTATTTTTGGCGAGCAAAAAGTGCCTAGTCGAAGGTTAAATTTCACACTCCAGGACAAGGTTTTCATTCTCATCGAGGTTTTCACGGAATCCCCCTTGTATGAAGAACAGAGGACAATTATGTCCACCATTTTAGACAAAATGATGCATGGAAGGTCGTATGTTGTGCAACAGGGAGTGGCCGGCGGAAAAACCACGCGTTTCGGACCGGTTGCCGCAATCGTGGCAACGTCGATTTTGAGAAAACTGCCGATCTTCATCTTCCCCAACTCCATCCTCAATCAGAACACTGTTCAGCTGCGGCAGTGGCTTTTTGACTTTTTCGGCAAAAGCGTTTTCGAATTCAAATCAGAACGATCGGCTTATGGATACAGCGAACCGTATTTGCGCTATTTGTACTATCGCCTTACGATGGCCCATCATCGCGGCAATGTGTTTGTATCTTCGATGAACAGCATCCAATGCCTGTTGAATGCTAGGAAAGAACTGCTGCTGCAAAACACGAATCGGTCAAAAGAGTCTCTTCTTTGGGTTCTGAGGATCCTTCATTTCATCGAACATTACTCGATATTTGTGCTCGACGAAGCGGATGAAATCATGGATTTTTCTATTCAGTATAGCTTTGACACAAAAGAGCCGCATGAAAAAGATTGGGATCTAATTGATGTGCTTATTGATTGCTTCCTGTTTTTGAGAGACAAAAGGATATTCCGATCGCAAACTGGAGAAAAGATCACCATTTTTGAGATCAAGGACCCTCTTACACCGTCTACTGCCAAAGCTTTCAAAGATACATTGAAAACGGAGCTCAAAAATATTTTGGCAAAAACCAGCAAGGAAAATCGGGTTTTGATCGTGGATGGCCTTTTTGTCAATTGCTGGGAAAAGGTCCGAAATGTGGGGTATGGAGCATCCATGGCCTCGCCAGTTCCATATTCCATCCCGTATGCGATGGCAAATACACCAAGGGAGGGCAGCAGCTTTGGAAACCAGATGTTTAGCATTGCGATTTCGGTAAAGTTTTACCTTGAAAACGAGATGAAAACTCTCAGCGAGCCTCCTTTATTCTTTAGAGAGGAGGAAAATATTTACTCCACCCTGGAGCTCTATTATGATTATGAAGAAGTAGAAGAAATCAAGAGGCAACCCA